ATTGGGAGCCTGAAGAAAGATCGGGGTTGACAGAATTAGTGACAAAATGAGGATGATTAAGGGAATTATTGAGACTTGAATAATGATTAAGATTAACAAAGTTATTGGTAAAATGGGAATCAGCAAAATCATTAACGAAATAAAATCCTGAAAAATGATTAAGATTAACAAAATTATCGACGAAATAATTGACACCTGAAGAATGATTAAGATTAACAAAATTATCGACGAAATAATTGACACCTGAAGAATGATTAAGATTAACAAAATTATCGACGAAATAATTGACACCTGAAGAATGATTAAGATTAACAAAATTATCGACGAAATAATTGACACCTGAAGAATGATTAAGATTAACAAAATTATCGACGAAATAATTGACACCTGAAGAATGATTAAGATTAACAAAATTATCGACGAAATAATTGACACCTGAAGAATGATTAAGATTAACAAAATTATCGACGAAATAATTGACACCTGAAGAATGATTAAGATTAACAAAATTATCGACGAAATAATTGACACCTGAAGAATGATTAAGATTAACAAAATTATCGACGAAATAATTGACACCTGAAAAGTGATTAAGATTAACAAAGTTATTGGTAAAATGGAAATTATAAAAATCATTAACGAAATAAAATCCTGAAAAATGATTAAGATTAACGAAATTATTTGACAAAATTACTGACAGAATGAGAATAATCGACAAAATTATTAAGACCCTGAAAGACCTTCAGTCTGGAATGTCTGTAGTCCAAATGCCCCATTTTGTCTAAATGGTGTGACAAAACCTATAATACTTATTTAAATCAATGTAACATCACTTGATTTTTATTTTCAAATGCTCTGCATATAAGTTATACGGTAAGTAGTGTAATTCATGTTACACCATACACCACTATAAACATACTACCAATACTTCATCACTCCTTCTCACAAATTCTATCTAATTAGAGTACTATATACGGCATGGTTTAAAGTTCGAGGCAACCAGGCTCACAAAATTAACGACGGAGAATTTCAAAAACAAATTAGAGAGAGGAAGGTCTCGTTCCCGGAACACCCGAAACGAAACCATGAGTTAAAACAAACGTTAATGACACTAATCAACCAGCTCTTTTATTTCCCTCTACCAAAAAAAAAAAAAAAAAAACAGAAGAAAACTCGCTTGATTTATCAACCTCTCTCTAAAAAAAAACCTCGAAACAAGTTTAATTCAAGGTGAAATTTCGTCCGAAGTTCTCCAAACTTCCAAATCCGGTGATCTTCGAATTCGATTGGAGTGACGCGTTGAATGGGAAATGTTCGATGGGGATCACGAAATTCCTCGAGTGGTAAAGCAGCCACCACCACCTCCAGCAACAGCAACAGCAACAGTCGTCGTATAAATTGATTCGCAGAAGGTTGTTCCCTCGACACGTGTGGAATACACGGGGCAGCGCGCGACGTTTAAAACATTAACGGGTCAATGGCGCGGCGAAACGACACAGCACCGTAAACACATTCGTATTCTTGGACAGTGTTTCGGAGGTCGGTTACCGTGCGCGGCCAATTAACGTCGAAATAAAATCCGCTCGTGCGCCGTTCCCCTCGCGTTTTATTATCATGCGCGAGCCCATTCGACAGGAAGTTTCTCGGCCGGATGCCTCTTGAATCATCTTGCCCCCGCTAACGAAATCGTTCCTCGATCCTCTGTTCGACTCTTCTTCTTTCATATTCCTCTGATGCTTCCTTTCTGTTTCTCTCTTTTTTTCTTTTCTTTTTTTTCCGTTTGGGAAACATCGCAGCGGAATCGAGTAAATTGTCCTTCGATATTGTTTGATCACCCTTTCACGAGTGAATTATCCCTTTTTCTTTAACCCTTATCTCAATAACCGGGTACCCTTTTGCATAATTCTCGCTTAAAATATTTGATCTTCCAGGTAAGAGATTTAAATGTCCGGCCAGATCGTTGTCATTTGGCACATTTCCTATCCGTGTCTGCCCCAAGTTTAGAATTCTCTTGTGCAGATGACAATGATCCGTAGTTAACAATCGAAGTACGATCTACTTATGCTGTACGAGGTTATTTATGCCTTTCCTTAAAAAAAAAAGAGGATTATTGCAGATGACAATGATCGAGGTGTTGATGAAACTTCCGTCTGTAGTTTTACTAAAAATGTAATATTTAATAATCGAAGTATGACTTTATGTTGTACGAGGTTATTTATGCGTTTCTTTAAAAGCAACCGATTAGCGACGATTTATTTTTGGACAAAATAATTTTTCGAAAAAGTGATCAGTGGAGCTTGATCTTGATCTACGGTTCCACTTTCGTCCACAGTCTGCTGTTAACCCTTTGCACTCGAGTGGAGACTGAAAAGCGACATTAGTATTTATCACTTGGAAAAAGATTGATTTCACAGGACCACAGCTCTGAAGGAAATGGTTCGGAAGAACCAATCTTTAACGAACTGTTTACAAGGCCTTGTATAATATTAAAAAACAATAAATATAGAAATAAACCTGATTTGCAATTTATCGCTAAAAGATCTTCGAGTGTAAAGGATTAAACTATAAAGTAATTGACGAATTTGGGAATCGGGAATTAACGAAACCTAATAAATTGATATCAGTTTCTATTTCTGCTTAACACTTAACAGACGGGTTGTTTTTTCTCCGTCTTTCTCGGCCGTCCTAGGAAGTCAGAATGGAAAAATGTAAATTTACGTGACCCGTCCGTTAAGTGTTAAGTGGACCGTACACGTGCCCCGTTGATCGCGAAAGGATCAAAATAATGTAGAAACTGGATTATCAATCGTGGTTAATTCACACTATGTAACAAGAAGTATTTTATTTTTAATATATTCAGAAAATTAGGATCGAATAAGAGGTGTAGAATGGAGAAATTGTAGATGGTTACTTGTAGAGCACCCGTTATGTGGCTGGATGCGCGTTCTAGTCCGTAGACTCCTACTCACTGTCAGTGAAAACCGCATCGGTAGGATAGTCGGTGCAATGGAACGCGAGGGAAATGAGGAAAGTCGGGCACCGATGAAAGTGAGAGGACACCGGCTACAGGCTGTTTCAGTCAGCCTGTCTCCTTTTCGTCACTCAAACGGAGAAAGGATTTCTGTCGCGTGTACTTCTCGTATTCTTCTTTGTAATTGAATTACTTTCTACGAAATCGTAACGTGACTTCTACCGTTTTAAAGAGAATTTCTTTTATCGGGTTCACTTGAAATTTCCTGAAAAAACGCGAATCCACTAGAATTGAACATTTTCATTTCAAGTAATTGTCATAATGTTTGATACAAGCACTTTTGCTTACGTATTACAAGAGCGTTAATTTCGTGTACGTAAACATTTGAAAGAAAGAAACTGAAAGAAGCTGAAAGGCGTTTTCAATGCTCTCCTGTTTCCTAAATCGTTTTTGTGTAAGCAAATTGTCAAGTGAAAATTATGCAAAAAGATAGGGCCTTTTCTGTTGAACACAGCTGGTTGTTGTATCTTCAGTTTTTGGTGCACGACCACCAATTCGTTACTGTTGCAGTCGCAGTCTGTTTTAGGAAACTGCAGTGAATTAATCCCGAAGTAGACTTACACCACAAAGTGTGCAAAAATTTCCAGAAGAAAGTTAGCAATTTTAAGAATACTTTATCAAATTTTTCCTCGTTCAAATAAATCGAAATAAGGCAAAGTGCTATCGATCTCCACAACATCACAAAATCTACAAAAAATTAGCAGCAAATTCAATATTGACGTAAATTGACCGGTAGTGTATATCTAAATTACGATTTTTTTCGGGTGTGAACTAGGTTTGGATCGAGAGGATTCATTCGCGTCTCCCTTTTATGTACACGGAATTAATGCTCCTGTAACACGTTGGCGAAAGTGTACCGTACACTATGGAAAGTATTTTAAATAAAAATGTTCAATTTTAGTGGAGTTACGTTTTTTTCAAAATGTACGGCTTGAAACCGCGGAAACTTCGAGGATGGCCTAATATTTCCACCCCGTTCAAGTTCGACACGTGCTAAAAAATTGAAGATTTACGAAATTCTGAAGATTTTTTGCACAACTTTTGAGATAATTGATTTTTTTCGCGATCCTTTGGAAGGTGCAAAGGTCATCGGAATTTCATTTAACGTGGAACAAAGCGAATCGCGATATTCGCAGAAACAACGCGGTAGGTGACTCGTGCGGATAGAGGGAGAAAGAGAGAGAGAGAGAGAGGAACCGCTGTTATAAATAATGCCGTGACGCACATAAGTTAGACATTTTAAAAATACGAAGTGCATCTTGAAAGCGTTTCGAACGGATGATAAATCGCGGCACCGCGAGTTTGACGATTTATTCCTGGACACCTTTCAGCCTGTGGCCTTTTCTTTTTTGTTTTTTTTTTCTCCCCGTGACGCCGAGTGAAATCTGAAATCGTTGCGGAGGACCGCGAAATATCGATGACGCTTATGCAAACATGTGACCGGCCTTTAGAAACTTTCGGCGTGCAGATGAAATCGGTGTAAAATTTGTATTGGAAGATTGAAATCTCGTTCTGCTGGATACTGGGCAATTAGATCGTCGGGTTGCAATAAATCTTTGGGCAAAAAATTCATCATCTTACGGGCAAACAATTAATTTATAATTTCTTCTCTTGGCTAGTCGTTGGAATTGAAATTCAATCTTTTTCCTTATTTGAGCCTTCGAAGATTGTAGTTCAAATAATACGGAGTTAATGTACACTGCCGGCCGAAAGTTTCGAATTACTGTGCATTGCAAGTTATGCAAAAATTTGCAGGAAAAAGTGAGCAATTTTAAGAAATTTTTAATTAATTTTTTCGAATGTAAATTGACGTAAATTGTAAGTTGCCAGGTGTTCCAAACTTTTGCCCGGTAGTGTACCTGTTTACAGTAAAATAGTTTTCATTTTGTGAAGTGTGAGATCGTGGAGTATAAATTATTGGAATTGTCGAAGGTAAAAAAAAAAGAAATGTATTTTTCCTTGATTGCAGGTTGACCGTTCGAATGAAAGTCGTTTGAGAGGTCGAGAGGGCCCTCCTACGAGGAAGAGAGTGATCCAGGCTAGAGAGTGCAAGGAGAGGAAAGGAGAAAAGGATAGAGAAGCAAGTATAAGAGTGTCGATTGATCAAAGTAGAGAGGGGTAAAATGGCGGGCGAGGACACGCAGATCCTGGCGAACGGAAACGTTGAGGCGTTGACGATAATCCCACCTAAAATGGCGAATGGAAACGGGTTGATTTGCGGGAAGCAGCATAACAACAACGGTTCGATACCAAACGGGAAGCTTCACGAGATCTCCGCGACGGAAAACGGGAAATTAATCATGTCTGATGAGAAATCGAGTAGCCTTCACACGGAGTTCGACGATGCCGATGTATCTTGCGGCTGGGGACCCTGTAGACCCCATTGGCTTCAGTATTTCGCCACGAAGCAGGCCTTCCTGGTCACCTTTTGCATCACCTGGGTTCGTATTAACAAAGAATCCTTTCATTTACTAATTGTTACAACAATAAAAATAGTGCAGAATTTTGTGTAAAAGAAAAAATAAAGAAAAACTTTGGAAATTAACCATAATTGAAGTTTATCCATGAAAATTTTGCATTACCTGAGTTAGTATTAATAAGGAATCCTTTGATTTACTAATTATTAGAACGATAAAAACAGTGCAGAATTTTGTGTAAAAAGAATAAGAAAAGAATCTCGTCTGGGTACTAAAAACTTTGGAAATTAACCATAATTGAAGTTTATCCGTGGAAATTTTGCATTACCTGAGTTGCTATTAATAAAAAATCTTTTTATTTCATAATTTTTCGAACAGTAAAAATAAAGCAAAATTTTGTATAAAGAAAAAAATCTTATTTGGGTAATAAAAACTTTAGAAATTAACCACAATTAAAGTTTAAAGTTTAACGATCCTGTGGACAGTAAAAGTAAAGCAAAACTTTGTGTCAAAAGTAAGAAAAGAATCTTACCAGGGCAATGAAAACTGTACAAATGAACCATAATTGAAGTTGATCCATGAAAATTTGCATCACCTGGGTTGCTATTAACGTAGGATCGTTTCATTTAATCCTTCCTAAGAGAAAAAGGCAAAAAATCGTTGGCGTGTAATAAAAACTTTAGAAACGAACGGTATAATCGAAGTTTCTCGATGAAAATGTATTCGGATATTGCAGGTTCTTCAGGGGATGTACTACACGTACTTCGTCTCGGTGATCACGACGATCGAGAAGCTATTCCAGATCCAGTCGAAGACCACCGGTATCATAATGTCGGCGACGGAGATCGGGCAAATCGGTTCCTCTCTCCTGCTTACGTACTACGGGGGCCAAGGTCACCGGCCTAAGTGGATCGCTTGGGGCATGATCCTGTTCGCGGTGAGCTCGTTCACCTGCTCGATGCCCCATTTCATCTTCGGTGAACAGCTGATCCATCAGAACGAGATGTTCTTCAGCGGTGTCGGCTTCGGGGTCGACGGCGACCCAAACAATGAACTGTTTTTCTCCCTTTTCTTGAAGAATTTTTTATAGAATATCTAGAAACAGAAGATACGGTTGCTCAAGAGTATCGTCACATTTACAACACGCCATTTCACGTCTACCTTTGTCTTTTTCTCTTCGTGTTTTTTCAAATTTATCTTACCCGACTGGTCACTTTTATCGAATTTTTATTACGTACGTGAATAAAAAAAAAAATGAAAAAAAGAAGAAGAAGAAACAGTTGCTCCAGATCGTTATGCAAAAGAGCCTCCAAAAAATGATTCGCCCCCTTCGAAACGTTCGAACGTGTGACACACTTATCGCTCTCGCATATATTTTTAAAACTCTCGATATCGTTTCGCGACGATAGGCACGCTCTCGAAATTATGCAATTTCTGTCCGACCCATTTCTCCTTACCTGCCTCGATCGATCGTACCTTTTTTAAATGGGTTATGTCCCGTCGCGTACCTGTCCTCTCCTTTTTCGCCTTTACGAATAAAATTATCGCGATTAATAAACGCTGTTTTATCACTAGCTCAAATACCCAATCGAATAATTATCCTTCAACCCTTTGCACTTGGAAGTCGTGTTTTGCCGTAGGAAATCTTCTCTGAAATTTTTTCAAACTAACCGTAGAAATAAACTATGCTATTTTATTTCAATATTCAATGTATTCTCTATTTCGCTATGGCGACGAAATTTATTGAGTGACAATTATATCAGTCGCCACTCGATTGAAAAGGGCCAATAATTACAATCGTAGATGTAAGAACAATAATATGCGGTGGATCTTTTTCTATTTCGAAGCTGGAATTCATCGACGATTCCGTTGAATACGATGAACTCCTGCGAGGGCAATTCGTTGATAGAGCAGAGGATACAGAGCAAAATAACGACGGTGGTCCTGGCTATATTTTTCGTCTCCTTATTGGGCGTTGGGATGGGTCAGACGGCGGTCTACACCCTTGGTATCCCCTACATCGATGACAATGTGGCCAGCAGAGAAAGCCCTCTCTATTTTGGTAAGAATACAATCGTGTCCCTTATATCCTTTTATTATACCCGAGAACGAAAGGGGAACAAATAATAAAATGTAGCCTGTGTCTTTCTCTCTCTCTCTCTCTCTCTCTCTCTCTCTCTCTCTCTCTATCTTTCTTTCTCTCTGTCCAAAAGTAAAATGTCATTGCTGAGTATTACTTTTTTCCTTTCTTTTTTCTTCTTCTATATCTTCTTATTAACTCGATCGACGGTACAGTTATCACGAGAATTTCAGTATTGTTAATGGACACACACTTGCACGGTTGAATCTTGTTGCAGCGATTACCATTGGAGTGAGGATCCTTGGGCCAGCCCTAGGCTTCATCCTTGGCTCATTGTGCACGATGATTTACGCGGATTTGTCGGTGAATCCGCAAATCACGCCGACGGACCCGAGATGGGTCGGAGCTTGGTGGCTTGGTAAATTGAAATCCCTTATTTCCAACTAAGCTTGTCTTTTCAACCAGTAGAATTTACTCAATTTTCGTATTGTTCAATTTTTCGAACTCATCCTACGTATATACACTGTATACCCGTATTTTTGATCGGTAGTGCGTGTACATACGGGGTATCCCACCTTATAACGAACATCTAAATTGCTTCCGCTGCTGTTCAAGGTAAGAAAACATCGTCGACATTTTTTTCTTCGTATTAACATGCTTATTTCTCCCTTACATCCTTATTTTTACGCTGTTCGAAATCGTTTCGAGGTCGTGGTGTCATAGGTCATTGAACTGGTCTCGATGTTGGTTACAACGTAACAGTGTAAGAAATAGATATTAATCCCTTGAGGGCAATAGACCGATATATTTTTAATAATGAAATAAAAATGTAATTTTGATATAATTTAATTTAAAAAAAAAAGAACCGAAGTGATGACCTAATTATGTGTTAAATAATCAGTACTTCGACATGGTGCGTAGTTCTTCGTCCGCAAAGATATTTTTAAGCAATGCGATAAAATGACTATGTTTTTATATTTGAAGAAAATGTAATTTTGATAAAATTTAATTAAAAAAAAAAAAGAACCGAAGTGATGACCTAATTATGTGCTATACAAATAATCAGTAATAATTAAAGGGTTAATATGCACAGAAATGTTGAAGACGTTGAAATTACTTTGGGTGGACTTTTTTATAATGCGACGTTGTAGCTGACATTGAGACGAGTTGAACAATCTATGAAATTATATCCCTGAAGTGACCTGAAACGGTGAAAAAAATGTCGATGACCTTCGCTAGACGTACATCCTGAAATCATATAAATTCTTCTTAGTAAGTTTTTCTTACTTTCGATAGCAGCGGAAATAATTTAGACGTTCATTATAAGTGAGACATCCTGTATAATCTCACCTCTCTGTTCAATCGTTTACTTATAAATACGTAGGTGAGGCATAAAGCAGCTCTGGCTGAGCCTCGCCTTTACGCATGTGTAATAAAAGCATTATTACTATTATATCATATAGTCCGTACAACATACCTACACTGGCAGTCAAAAATTTGGGACCATTTGTCAGTTTACACCAATATCAAATTTTAGAACAAAAATTTCTATCTTTTCAAAATTTTCATTTTACCACAATCTCGAAATTTCAATTTTCTGTAACAAAAAATTTGGTTTATGTATTTTATGACCGAATATTTCAATTCAATTTTTTCAAAATTTCAATTTCACCAAAATCTTAAAATTTCGATTCTCAGTAACAACAAATTCGTTCCGTATACTTTACAACGTACAGTGGTCGGAAATTTTTGGCCGACAAACTAATTCAAATAAAAAAGTTCCGAAGAGATTAGAGGGAGAGGAGAAATGATAAAGGAGGGTGCAATTGGCTGTTTCAGGTTTGGTGCTAATATCCGCCATGCTGATGCTGGTCAGCATAGGGATGTTCGCGTTCCCGACGCGGCTGCCCGCGAGCAGAACGCCGCCGAAACGGGCGGACTCGAAAAAGCCTAGTCTCCGAGGTAAGCCCTGATTTATCGTGGCGACGCGAATTGTTCGTCAGGGAGAGGCCGGTGTTTAAGCCTCGGCCATCGGATCAGAGCGGTTTAATTTGATTTTATGGCTTCCCGTAAGCTCCGCGCTTTGCTCCCCGTCCCCTAAAATTGCCCCACGAAGATTCGACCAGAAAGATAAAAGTATCAAACCGTCTATTAATCGTAGGGTACCTATGGGTATGTATGTATCCGGTCATCTCAAACGGCGCAAATTTTTAGGAGTTTATCACAGAGGTCTGGACTTTATGAGTTTCGTATGTGTAAAAAGTTTGGAGTTTGTAAAATGTATTACAAAAATTTGCAGGTCGATATCTTGAAAATCGACGAAGTTATGCTGGTTTGAAGAAAAGAAGTCCCAGTGACTTTTTCAAAATGGGATCCTTCGAGACTCTGAACGTCGTGTCTCAGGACAATTTGAACAGGACACACTTGGAAGCATCGTATATAATCCACTAATTTAATTTTTTTAAATTACACTCCTGAATTTCTTTTATTAAATGTGACAAAATCAGGACGTATAATGTCCTTTAAAATGAATATAGTCACCTACCGATAGTCATATTTCTCACAATTTTTAATATTTTTCAACAAAAATTAAGCCACATATAGTTCACAAACGTATCTTCCAGTAGAAAAAATTCGATTCAATTCTCGCGTTCAGTTTTCGAAAAAAAAAATTCCTAAGTTATAGCTTATTTTCAGGTGTCTAGCTAGACGTCAGTCCTCTATAAAAAAGTGAAAAAATAAAATTCTCTGCACTTTTTCGAGGCAATTTAATGACATTGTGTATTCGCCGGACGTCTATCGGGAACGAGAAGAAGGTCCAATAAGATGATCCTCGAAGCGTGAACCTCTCAGTCAAGGTCAGTGGCGAATTTAGGTTCGCAGAGTCGGCGTGTCTGCTCGTTCGATCGTGAGCACGCAGGCTGACGCTTTCTGAAACACGGGCGAGCCCTTTTCTGGGAACCCTTTGCTCTTGGGACAGCGGGGCGACCCTTGGCGCGTTTATTCTTGGTCCGCTTCGTTGAAACTTTCGATCGAAGGTCGTGCAACATCTGCGTTCTCCTTCTTCACAGCCGAAGATTTGATAGAAAGGGGGTCTGGAAAGATTTCAAATCTCTCGAACTCATTTGTTTTATTGCTCCGTGACTTTTCAACGTGAATTCCAACGGTGTGACGTTCGATTTTTCCCACCTGTTCGTTTTTTTTTTCTTCTTCTTTTCTTCTTTTTTACCCTTGACCGACAATGTTCCGGAATGCTGTTCCTGAAAGGGGCAGACCGTTCAAAATGCGGCACGAGTAGCATCGATAATGAAACTTGTACGTTCCAGTGCAGCACGTGCATGTCTCTGGCGCGTTGTATAGTAGTACGATGTTACTTAAAAATAACTCTCTGTAAGCCGACTTTGCACATATCGGCGTCCTCCTCCGTACTTGGTCTCCAAGTTAACGAGGTTACCTTAACGCGAGACGCAACTTCGGTTTCACTGTTGAGAGAGAAAAAAAAAGGAAAACAATACTCAAAATCGATGTGTACACCTACGAATCACCTTCCTTATTCTCAAGAAATTTCACGAAATCCTTAAAGCGCCGGCTATTCTGTTGGAAAGTTTACCTAAAGCACCGTGATATTTACGAGTTTCGTAGAAACACGCACTTTTACAAAATAAAATAAAATAACTCTTGCAAAACAGAAAATTTCTATTGAAAAGTTTTACGCAGTGCTTATTACAGGCACAGCGACGATTTTTAACCCTTTCGTTACGGCAGATTTCAATCGAGGTTGCAAAATCTTTCGTTCTGATCGCATCCTTTCAAAATTTCTTTTATTTAACCTCCTCAGGGACACCGACACATATGTGTACCTTTGGATTTTCCGAAAATTCCAATATTTGCGATAGAGAAAATATGAAAAACAATCTCCCGAAATCTCGAAAAATCTCCTAAGGAAAATAACTTAATTGCTATCGATTTAATATGAATATAAATGTGTAACTACATAGAAAATTAGATTAGTATTTTCTAACTTTAAAAAATCGTCTCTGAAGAGGTTAATAAAGATGGAAGTATGTAAAGTACAAAAATTAAGGATTAAATAACAGTAAAAGTGCGAGAAAAATTGGACTCTAAGAACACTGTATTCTTCCAAATTTTCCAAACGCCTACAGGCGCCAACAGCAGTGAAAGGGTTAATGATATAAATATCTAGCCACTTGCTGTTCAAGAGGTATAATATCTTTTTCTGCACAAACATGTAGAAACGCATTTTGGCGCTTAATCGCTAGTCCACATATTGTGCTTTAAAGCGAGTCCGGCGCTTAAAGTGTTAATTAATTAAAAAGACTTCCAAATCACCGGTCCTCTAACGACCATCCGCAGAGCCCCATGGAAGAGGTAGCAAAGCGAATCGCGTGCATTTCCGACACAGAGAATTGTCCGCGACCAAAAACTCCGGCGTGCATCCGGTCGACACAGAAGACGTGTCCAGCTTCTCTGCGAGCGCGACATCGTGCATCTCTTCGTCTACCAAACCAAACGTCGCGAGAACAGGCGAGGAAAGGAGAAAGAGAGAGGCTCTCTCTCTCGAACATACAAGTGTGTATACGCTACTTCTGTGAGAAGCGGTGCATTTCTGGTGCGTTACGTCGCGCGTGTTATGTCGGCCGAGGTGCACGAGACAGCTGAGATAAGTCCTCTCGCCGCGGCGAGAACGGAATGGATCCACGGCACACAGCGGCCGAGAGAGAAGAACAGGGCCGTATATGCACGCAGAAATGCACGCGCGCGTGCCTACCGACGCGCTATGCACGACGCATGACCGTGAACTTGCCCCACCTAGTGCACCAGTCGGTCAGTCATCATTATTAACGCACACAACGGGCCCCACTCGCGTCCACACACGCGCATACACACATCGAACACCCGGCGATCCTTACTCCTACGTGGCACACACCGGACTGGCCAGAAATCCGGATGCGTTTCGGGGCCTTTCCAATTCTTTTTCCACGTGAATTTTGCACGAGCAAACTTGAATTCTCTTCGTGGTCCAAAATATTACTGTTCCCCGTTTAATCTTCCTGCCTTCCAATGAGATTTTTCCAGTTCAAATTAAGAATGAACCTGCGCGAAAGAAGATCTGGAAGAGTTTCGAGGGTGTCTTCTAAGGGGATGTAAACAAACGCAACAGGTGGTTTTGGGTCTATTCAGCTTCCAAATTGCACATTTCTTTACCTAGTCTTCGAACGGTCCTATGAGAATGAGAATGATTTTATACGATACGGCGGGAGTGTTTAGGGTTTACAAATGCGAGGATGTTGCGGTTTCAGTAGAATCTTCCGTGCGTGGTATCGCGGCGAAGTAGATAATGGAACGCTAGGAGATTGCCTCGAAGGACAGGTTGCTGCCGAATCGAGTGGATGCACGCGATTCGCGTATTACTCTGGAGTCATCACTGTCCATCTGAGGACTTCATTTCACGTTTCTTTCGGGTATACCGTTTTTTCCCCTACAACAGCCCCGTACTCATTATCCTTTTTCTTAATTCAATAATTGCTACCTAATGGTCCCATCATCATCCTGAACGCATTACGTACCCGGCGATGAAAGTATTTTTTCCCACTTTTTCAATCAACTTAATTCGCGTTGTTTACCCGTGGGAATTTCCAAGGAGAAGAGTAATTCCATATGAAGCTTTTCGCGAAGGGCCACCCTGTATGTGCCTGGTGCAGGGTTGTCGCGATAATACACGGAGCGCAATGTTAGTCACGTTTGTCTACTCATGGTCTGCAGGACTTCTCTATGCGGGGTTGCCACGACTCTAGCCCGGCCTTCCTGGAAGCCTAGAGCAGTCCTAGGCATCCTTAATGTCAGTTTCCACCGAGGGTTTCTCGAACGGAAACCTCGCACGAGAAGAAGGCGGACGCAGCGCGTCGTGCATCGTTCTTCTTCGTTCTTTTTCCACTCTCTCCTCCTCCTCCACCTCCTCCCTTCACCTTCCATGCAGGAATTTCCGTTTTTTATCATTGCTCGAAAATCGATGCTTCATCCGATCGTGCAGCGTCACTTCTTCTTTAACATTCTCGCGATTCTTCTTTTTTTTTTCTTCCACTCACTTTTTATCCTTTTGCTGCTACAAGTCCCTGTTGTATCTATAATTGCCCGTAACAAGTTACCAAGATTTTTATGTGTAGCATTATTCGAGGCAGGTTTGCATAGTACCTCAGCCAGTTTCTGAGATTCTTATATGGAATATAGAGTATGGAATATGGAGCAGATAATATATGGAACGTTTGAGTATGTGGAGTGAAATAGTTCGTCACGCAATAATTCGGATATGATACATAATTACTTGGAAAGCTAGATCGTTTCCAATGAGGAAGCACAAGGATATCTGGAAATATTCTACTTCGTCCTGACCGTTTCCAAGTACTATACATTTATCGATAACGTTCTACGAGAGAGGAGGCAGAATCAGATAATTCGAGTAATTCTAATGAAGACACAAGCTCGTCGATGGGGGACTGGTCTCGATCGGACGGTATAAGACCCCATTGCTAATTACAAAATAAGAAACTCGTTCGTTTCAGATCGAATACGCGAAGGAATATCTGGCGGTGTGAGCAAAAAGGAGAAAGGAAGGGGCGAGCAGAGTCCGTGAAGGGGCGTTCTCTTATCCAGGATCTGTTCGAAAGATCCTCCATGTCCCGCGAAACCTTTATCGCTCTTCGGGTACCGAAGATCGATCCTCGTTTTCCTTGCTAGGCTGCCGGTATCGTCGTTGCGCTTCCTTTTTCTCCCTTCGTTTCTTGTTTTTCGTGCCCGAGGCGGTTTCAACCTACCCTCCTCTTCACGTCTGTGCTCGCGAACGCTCGCCGTAGAGCGTTCGCTTCGAACCCTTCGAAAAATAGAACGAAGGGAAACTCGATCGGCAGCTAATTAGCTCGTCGTTCGTAATCGAGTTCATAAATATCGTTGGACCGGTGACTCTGTCACATTCGAAGGAAGGAAGGAAGCAATGGATGGATGAAATGGAAAGTTGTTCAGATGGAAAAAAGTTACCGATTCGTTTGCTCGTGGTTTAGTTTCTCTTCGAGACTTGGAATTTCTAGGGACACTTGAATACAGAAGGATCCCGTGTAACGTAATTAAACGGAGAAAAAGAATGTACAAATTGTGAAACCGAAGAAAATTCCACCGACGAAGGAATTGTATTGGTAACACAAAAAGCTTTATCGGTGGAACTTAATTTTAGCGATTCTGAGAGTGGTCAGATTTCAGTTTTACCTGCCTTTACCTTTATTTTAAGCTATTCTGTACGTATAACGAAGAAAATTCCAAGTTTTTATTGTTTTAAAATAAAATGTAAAATGAAAAAATTTGTTTTGTTTAATTCTAACTTTTTGCACTCTGGATTTCGCATAACATGAAATTCGAGGAACAGTTCTCCCGCGTTATAGGGGGTCCATTTGTATATTTATTGATTTTTTTTTTCAAGAAGGTTTTGCCGTGAGAAAGTAAAAGTGGAATTGAAAAAGTGGCCAATGTGAAATGGATATATTAGAAATGAGAAAGAAGTAGATAAGTGGAGGATTCGTTTGTAATGTATATGGTTTGGCTGCAGGTCGCGATGTGCGGGTTCGTCGCATTGCCTGTGAGCCACGGTGCACACTCGCTACACCTCGCCTTCTCTCTACCTGTTGCAGACTTCCCTAAAGCGGTGAAGAGGCTGTTGAAGAACGACATTCTTATGTTCCGTACGGCCAGCAGCGTGCTGCACATCCTACCGATCGCCGGCCTCTACACCTTCCTGCCAAAGTACCTCGAGAGCCAATTTCGCTTGCCAGCTCATCATGCGAACATGATCTCAGGTAATTTTCGCGCATAGACACGCGAACCTACCTCCCTGCTTCCAAATCTTACTCGTTCGAATAAAATCTTTCACAGGAGGTCCTCCTTTCTCCTGAATTTTTGAAAATGGAAAGTAAAGGGGATGCGAAATTTTCTGGGCCATTTTAAATTTTACCCTTCACATTAAAATTCTCGGTTAGAGCTCCTTTTCCTGAATTTTCTAAAATGAAAGATAAAGGGGATGCAAAATTTTCTTGACCACCTTAAATTTTACCCTTCCTGTTAAAATCCTCAGTTAGAGCTCCCTACTATGAATTTTTAGAGCTCCTTTTCCTGAATTTTCGAAAGTGAAAAATAAGGGGGATGCAAAATTTTCTGGGCCACCTGAAATTTTACTCTTTGCATTAAAATCCTCAGCTCCTCACTCTGAATTTTTGAAAATGAAAAATAAAGGGGATGCAAAATTTTCTGGGCCACCTTAAAGTTTACTCTTCCCATTAAAATCCTCAGTTAGAGCTCCCTACTCTGAATTTTTGAAAATGGAAAGTGAAGGGGATGCGAAATTTTCTGGGCCATTTTAAATTTTACCCTTTCCATCAAAATTCTCAATTAGAGCTCCTTTTCCTGAATTTTCTAAAATTAACAATAAAGGGGATGCGAAATTTTCTGGGCCACCTGAAATTTTACTCTTTGCATTAAAATCCTCAGCTCCTTACTCTGAATTTTTGAAAATGAAAAATAAAGGGGATGCAAAATTTTCTGGGCCACCTTAGTTTCCTTCTGTATTAAAATCCTCAGCTAGGGCTCCTTTCTCCTGAATTTTCGACTGTAAAGGGAAAAGTAAAGGGAACACGAAATCTTAGCCACCTTAAATGTCACCCTTCTTATTAAAATCTTCAGCTGATCTCCTTCCTCTGAATTTTTGACGGTGAAAAATATTTTCAAATCTAAATGAACAAAGAACAAAGGGAAGGGTGAATAAACGGGGTGAGAAATTTTCCGAGGCATCTGAAATACTACCCTCCCGATTAAAATCCTCAGTTGGAGGTCCTTTTCCCTGAATCTTAAATCCAAATTCAAATTTATCATCCCTTTATTCAACGACCGTGAAAAAACAATCATCCCTACAATCACCAATGAAAATCCAAATAATTGCAACAATGGGAACTGCTATTTGACATGTGGGAACTTTTTCGCAGGTGTCGGTGGTATTTTAGTAATGGGTCTGGGTATTATAATTAGCGGAGTGTTTATCCTGAGGGCGAAGCCTAACGCCAGGTTCGTCGCGGCCTGGATCGCCTTCACAGCGATTGTTTACGCGATCGGCATGGGTGTGCTGATGTTCATCGGCTGCCCGATGGACGATTTCACTGGTCTTGTTTCGCATTCCAACGGGTAAGAGTCACATTTTCTCATTTTCATCCTACAAATTTTATCTTCTCTCGTGGTATACTTATGCTAATTGTGCTCGCTATTTCCACTGTATCGTTTGCATGTAAAATTTTGCAGTCTAGCAGAAACCGTAGTATACTCGTAATCGTGGAATGTATCTATACCAATTTGTCTGATATTTAATCGTGATCTTTTGCACAGGTTTTGTTGAACTGTGAAGGCACGTTGACATTAAGCAAACGACAAAATCTTTTTAGATTGTCCAGTTTCGAACCGACCTGCGAGGCTACCTGCGACTGCATTCGGAACAAGTTCAGTCCCATCTGTGGCGCCGATGGGAAAACGTATTTTTCCGCGTGCCACGCGGGCTGCTCCAATTACACTATCAACGATGGCAAGGTAGCTTCGGTGAGTACGATATTAAATTGGTAATTCTCTTCTTTGAAAAATATTTATCGTCGAGAAATTAGCCCCTTGTACTCCATTAGAGATGCTACAGCGATGTTTACAATGTGCACCGTAATTCGGTTACAACACTAAATAGATTGTTTCTGTAGGTACCATACACCGTGACTAAAGTGAACAGGCGTACTGATTTATTCGGTACAGTAGTGATTTTAAAGGCTCTGTGCTGATGTATCGAGTCAGTACTGATTTTTAACCCTATTGCGTTCTTCGTTTTGACTGTACACTTAAGACTTTTGGGTCGAAAAGGACCTAAGACCTTGTGTGTAATAATTTTTGTTTCCAACGCGACATGTGAACCTAGACAATAAACGTTTAAAATAATGTTAAAGAACGTAAACTTGATAGCAGCAAAAATGACTAAAAATATAAAAAGGCGGTGGGTCAAAAAAGACCCGAAGACCGCTCTAGGGTTAAGGCTCTGTACTGATTTAAATTTTGTACTGATTTTAAGAAAAACGACTCGAAATGCACAAAGACAATATGTAGTTGAGGTAACTGAATATTTTTTACGTGTTCCTGGTACAAATGCACCAGTTGAAAGAGTATTCTCAATAATAAGTAAAATTTGGACGGTAGGAAAAGTTAATTAGGGTTAGATCATTTAAAATCGTATTAATTGTGAAGTACAATGCTAGTGTAGAAGAAATTTTATATATTGAAGAATTATTGAAGGCGATTTCTTCTTCAACTAAACGCGTGTAACCATTATTCAAGAATGCTTTATCGTAGAATGCAAACAGTAAACAGAAATCTTTCTTTTCTCGCCACAATGTAAGACATCAAAAATCTCATATCTTCGAATGTAACATTTCTTCCGTATCTTTTACGGTTTTGCAAATATTCACGATAATATAAAAATTTGGCATTTCTTTTAGGGGATGTATTCACCGCTGGAACAGTTTTATTGCCGAAACAGAAAATGACTTTGCTATTATCTTCAAGTAAACTACATTTCTGCACAGTTTCAAACTTTTTCTTAATTTTCCAGATACCAAACTTCTCGTGTTAGTTCTCCATGGCTTTACAATTTTCTTCGCGATTCTCACAAATTACAATTTTCTCCAAATTTCTTCTACACATCGTCTATATAGTAAACTAATCCTTCGAACTTCTCGAAAGAACTCGAATCGTTAGGTTCAATTTAACCCCTTAACCTATGATTTCTTTTCTGACTACGCATCTAAGCGTCAGCCATTTTCTGTTTCAGTACTGTATCAGGTAACAAAAACTAGTCTGTCACAGATTAATTACATTTAGCAATCCTGAGTCTTATAAATTCAAACGAAAATTAGGATCGCGATTAATTTTTCTTACTGATACAACTACTTTTCTCGCATTTTCGCCAGAATCTCTGCCACGAGTCTGACACGTTGTCATATGTTAAGGGGTTAAAAAGAAGTTATACTGTTCTAAAGAGTGTGCGAATATTAGTGGGAGTCACTGTGCATTACACGTTATAATTAAGAAACCGTCAAAAATGGAGCTGCACCACTCTTGCCTCAAGGTCCTTCACTTTTACTGCTGAAAATCTGACAATCGAAGTCGCTGTCTTTCTCACACTCGTACTTCTTACACGTACGCTAAGTAAAATAGCCAAGTAAATAGAACATAATTATTCTTCATCTATTCCGTATGCTGATTGCTCTGTCCGATTGTGCAGATCGTCACTGACGTCATTGCAGGGGATATTGATATATATGGGGGGCCAAGCATGCTGGTAATTGTCCAGTGACAGTGGCATGCAACTAGGGCAGAAATGTTTCGTTGTTCCATCATTTAAGGGGGAAATCGCGTTATTCGCCGGGACGAGACAATGCTTCATTGATTGCGCAACAGCGCGCGAGTCGTTACTCTTTCGTAATTCGAACGTGCGCCTCACCGTGAGCATTTCATTTCCAGTTGTACGGATTTCGCCCGGGCCACGATTGCTATCGCACAATTATGCCAGGCCAGACCGGGGGGGTTTCATTTGGAAAATTGCTGGGACTCTTTAATTAATTGCCAGAAGAACGAACCTTCCGTTCCACTTTCTGTATGACGTAGTTCAGTTTAGACGTACGAAAGAAATTCGATTAAATTACACGCACCTGTTGAGCGTGAAAAATTTTGAAATTCTCGTTCTAACGAAATTTTGGCGGTTTAAGAAACGCGGGAATTTCGAATTCGTTAGATTTTCTAATTCGTCAATTTTCAGCTTCTCATTTTTTCACTCGTGGAATTATGTTGCAGTTGAAATGCGATAATTCTTGTTGTAAAAAATTTGGCATTCCAAAAACCGCAGGAATTTCAAATTCATTAGATTTTCTAATTCGTCAATTTTCTGACAATTTTCAACTCCTCATTTTTTGACTTGTGATAATCTGGCGCGCTTGGGACTTCGACAGTTCTGGATCATCAAATATACCGGACTATTGGAGTGTATCTGTGTAACATGATAAAAACGAGGCGAATAATTTGAAAAACAGCCATAGTTAATACAATAACATAATTTATTAAAAAGAAATAAAATACACGGCAAAACGTAAACATTATCAACATAAAAGTGTGAGCAGAAGCAACAGTTTGTAGCGAATCCTTAAATTCAATTTTCCCAAAAGCTAAGCTTCTTATGAAAAATTTTATTCTTTATTTTTCATTTATTTTACACGTAGAATCATCTTTGCCCGGTTGTACCACGCGTCATACTTCCAAAATTTTTTAATCGTATCTCATTATTCTTTCAGCTGCACAAGATTTTCACTGCTTTCTGTATACACTATTCCTATGCAAAATATTACATTACCACTGTATATCAATATAAAAATATAATCTGAAGCAATTGTTCATAATGAATCTTTAAATTCAGTCTTCTCGAAAACTAAGCTTCTTACCAAAAAATTTTATCCTTCATTTCCAGTTTATTTCACACGCAGAATCATCCCCCACGCAGTTTTACCACGCGTTCTGTCTCACCCTGTACATAAGCTATAAAATTTTTCAGTTACTTAATACTTCTTATCCGTCTTCGTCGTCTGATCGTTCAAAAGCCAGTGCAAAAGTACGATACACGTAAAATTCTCGGAATTCTTCTGTGTAGAGAAATAAAGATTCGTTGAATAGAAACGTAATAATAGTTTCTCGAATAGAAGTGCAATAATATTGTAGCACTTATGAAAATGCAAAAAGCATCGCAGACGCGTATAGAAATACTTGGCGTGCCTCTAACAGCGTTGGTTTCGCGGCTTTTCAGTTTTACAACTGCCAGTGCATCGGGTCGAACCTAACGACACCGGAAACGACCAGCACAGCGTCGATCGGTTACTGCGAGCTCGAGTGCAGTAACTTTTGGGTTTATATGGTCCTGTTCTCGGTGTTCGTTTTCATCCACTCGACCAGCGAGGTGGGCTCCATGCTGTTGATCCTACGGTGCGTCGATCCACGGGACAAGGCGATGGCTTTGGGTCTCATACAATTCGCCATCGGCCTCTTTGGTAATTATTCTATTCGATGAAAAGAATTTTTGTTTTTTTTTTTAACACTAGGTTTATGGACATTTCTTGTGTACCTATCTTTACAGACTGAACGAAACCGCGTATTTTCTTTAAAAAGTAACTTATTTTTATTTCAAAACAATTTGAAACTTGACTTATAGTCAAATTGAGGCGTGAATGAAACCGTATATTTTCTTCAAAAAGTAACTTATTTTATTTCAAAACAACATTTTATACACTATTAACTTATGAATACGAACGATACACTTGTATAAAATTTGTAATAAGCGTAAATGGTAGGAGAGAAATGAAAACGGTTTCTGTAATTCTCCTAGCGAAATTCGAAATGCGTGAAAATGACCGTAAACCCGTAAACCTAGTGTTAATGACCAAGTGAATAGAATTTTTATTGATCGATTTGAATATTTTTGTCGCACGATAGATAACGGAAATAAAATTTCAGCATATTCTCTGATTCACTTGTCGTTCTTGCAAAACATATTGAAATTATTGGGTTGGTGCAAATGAGTAGTCATTTTTTATACACAGCAAATAAATTTTTGTACGCGACAGTCGAGAAGAAAGAATTCAGAATTCTGAAGTGACGAATAATCGGGATATTCGTATAATTTTTTTTATATAAGTTGAAACTTGGAAGAACTGTTGAAAATAGAAATTTAGCATTTGACGATGGTTGTGTAAGTGTTAGGACACAGTTCAACGTTGGTGTGTAAAAATCAAGATTGGTGAATTTTCATTGAAAAATGAGGACAGTCTATGATTTACTATTTATTTTTAACAAATAAATTATTTCAAAATAAAGACACTGTAAAAGCCACATTCAAAGAATTTTTTCATTCAAGGACTAATAATTTTCATAAATTTGGAACAACGAAGCTATGTACTTAATCGTTGGAAAAAGTGTACAGAATCCTGTAGAAATTACGTTATTTCTCTCTAAAATTTCATTTCAGAAAGTGACGTTTCACATGCACCAACCTAATAGAACAAAAGAATTTTGTCTAATTAAAAATTGTATGAAAAATTCGAAATTACATTTCGCGGTACGTGTCGTGAATTGAATAAAAGGGTTAACAGAGGCTTCGAGTCACAGGATGATCCGTGCGTCTCTTGGTTCCAGGTAACGTTCCGTGTCCAATCGTTTATGGTGCTGTGGTGGACTCCGCTTGTCTCGTATGGGAATACGCTTGCGGCGAACGTGGTGCCTGCTGGCTTTACGACTCGAATGTCTTTAGAATGTTCTATCATGGTACGTACGCGGTTAGGAAGAAATCTGCGGCGAGAGGAGCAGTAGAAAATATCTATATCGATTCTTCGATTGGCTACTGGTTCTGCCGTTACGCGCAGGCTAAATTTCACTTCGAAACACACAGTCGAACATTCTACCAATTCAATTTACACTCGACGTACACTTAATTCTCATTTCGATCGGGAAACACTGCCAAAGAAAATTAGACAGACAAGTCAAAACTCCGTAATACCTTCTTCCATGCACTTCCAATCCACCGAGAAATTCAACAGCAACGAGACTCAGTCTCTTCCTCTGTCTCTCCAGAATAATTTCCTCCAAAGAGCAGGCAATACTTTACTAAAGCTGCTCACGAATCTCCAGGTACGACGGGCGGAATCCTAATTCTGGCGTTCGTCGTGGACATAGTGGTGTGGTACAAGGCGGGGAGCATCAATTTCGCGGAGGAGCAGGAAACAGAGGAGGGCACCGTGGAGGAGATGGCCACCCTGAAGTCGCAGGACGCGCAGGTGGTGGACAACGATTATTTGTGAAAGGGTCCCGGCCGACTTCGATGGTATCTCATGAAGCACAGGCCTGAAACCAGCGTCGTGGACCGGGACAAAGCGTGACGGCGAGGCGTTCCTAACTGTTACGACGAGTACTCGGTGCTGTATACGCCAGTTTCCGTACCAGAGGTTTATCACACCAACGGCGTCGATCGTGTGTGTCACGTTCTACGAGCCTCTTAGACGTTCGTTTCCGGTTGCTCCATCGATGATAGAGGGAGGAGATCCTAGAAGAGGGAGAAAGACGACACACTGGTGCTCGCGTGAATCGCCTTTTAGAATTTTCGAAAGGAAAAGGAGAGAGAGAGAGAGAGAGAGAGAGAGAGAGAGAGAGAGAGTCCAGAGGACGAATGAACTAAATCGGTCATCGAAGTGGGAGGGAGGCGGTGCTGGACCACGGAAATGCCCGTGTTGCTTCCGGGGAGGCTGTGCCGAGGTTTACGAAACGAGTGCATCGAGAATAGAAGGCGTTAGAAGTGGAGTTTGAGAACGGAGGAATATTTAATGGGAGATCAACGAAAAGAAATGTTTGTTTTTGCTTCTTTTTTTTTTCTTTTCTTCCATGGGAAATCATTATCGAAGACATGTAATCACCACGGACCATGGAAATGGGGAGGGGTGGGGGTGGGAGATTTTGTTCCTGGTTAGGACGTCGACGAACAACGATTTTGAGAGAGGAATAACGGGGGTAGGAAGTTCATCCTAGAGAGAAACTATATTACGACGGAGAGGAGTTACTCGATGGACGTTGCGAAAGGAGCTGGGAAAAATTGTGAATTGGTTCCCTCGGCACCCGGGCGAGCTTCTCTTAGGCACTACCGTCCGTGTTTCACTCTGCAAATACACACCTAGACGTAGGCAAACTGTACGTACAAGCGATTTACGATGTATGCATGTATGTCGATGATAATATTTGTCCGAGGGGAGAGGCGATAATGCGCGGTGGTAATAATCTCGTTGTTTTTTTGTTTTGCTCGTAAACGAACGAAAGAAGTCTGAATGGAATGGGGAGGGGGATTGGGGGAGGATTGTGAGATTGACGACGATTCGACGAGAGGGTGAAAAAGCGAAAAAAAAAAGAAAAAAAAATAGGAAAGAGGGAAGAAATTAACGGCTAGAGCGAATCTGAGAGCGAATGGGAATAATAACGAAGATACATAGGACATATTTTTAGACGATTTGACGATGAAAACCTGGGGGGATAGAGAGAAGACAGAGTAACGTTAATTATTAATTAATTATTAAAACGTGAGATACACAGAGACAGGGAGAAGAGGGACGACGGAGGAATAAAGAGAGGTGAGAGAATTAAGATGTGAGGAGGAGAGAGAGAGAGAAAAATGTGGAGAAGAGTTAATAAGAGCTGTATTTTAATATGATACACTTTACACACTCGTGAGACACTCGTCGATGTATTGCGCGTCTACCGCCTGTGCTTCTATAGTGCTTTGAACGTTCGCCGTTTTCGAGTCCCGCAAGGCTGGCTGGCCTGGTCGTTTGTTAACCCTTTGCCCGTGTAATATTCTTGCCCGACAGACTGCCCCCGTTGAATCGAGGTACAACTTCACAAGGAAGAAACGAAGAAAGAATTAAAATCCGTTAAATACAGTCTCTAGGTTCCAGTAGCGTGTAGGTACGTTTTAATTTGACAAATATTTTCCGTAGGAAAAGGAGGAACAATGAAGAAAATTACCACTGGAATTTCATCGTCAAAGGGTTAAAGAAATGATCAGAATGATTGGATAGTTCTATGTCTCGTACAAAGGCAAAAGAAAGAGAGAGAGAGAGAGAGAGAGAGAGAATGCAGAGGGTTGTTTCAGAGGGAGAAAGTAAGAGAGAGAAAGGAATTAAATAGCGCGCATTTAGGGTACGCATTAGTCGCTATCAAGTTCGCGAATTATTCGATTCAGGGGCATTGCTAATATACTACAGTTTTGCGTTTGTTTCGAAGAGTATTTGGCTGAAATCACTCAGAGATGGAATTAAGACGAAGAATTAATCAATCTTGGAATGTTAACGAACGAATATTACCTTCCAACATTGAAGGACGGCTGTTTGGTTTTATCGATCTCGTCGAAGACGATTAGAGCGAGGAACGGGAAATATATTTTTGGAGAATTTTATGTTTGAACGGTTATATATTTCTCCATCGACCCCAGAAGCTGGGCAGCTGGTCCAATCCATGAGCGTGAAGAGAAATATTTAACACCGATTCTCGAGTGGTGATTTAGAGAGAGAGAGAGAGAGAGAGAAAAGAAACATCAATTTTTATCGTTTATTCGATTAAATACAATTCTACGTGTTACTTTGAAAGAAAAGAAAACAGCAGATACTTCTCTTCACATCATCCCAGAAGCAGTAACCTAATCTAATAACAAAGAGGACGATCGCGAAAATCTATTTTTTTTACCATCGTACCTCTTGCTAAAAATTACAGAAAAAAAAAAAAGAAAATTCGATTCGATTTTCTCCGAGAGGCGAGCAAAGAAAAGGTATATCCATTCGTTTCTTCTGGACTACGATAGAACGTTGCGTACTTTAACCCTTTTCGCGTTCTTACGGAGAACGGAAGGGTTAAACGTGTTACATATACATTGTACGTGTCGGTATGCGTGTGCGTGCGTGGATAGCAGCGTTGAGACGATGCAATTGAGAAAGGATTGCACAGGAGCGGATACGGCCTTCCGTGCGCCCGTTGATCTCCATCGAGAATTGTATTTTTGTATTCGAAGCGACACATAATCTATATTTTAATCGATCACAGGCCGTGAGTATAGCACAGCACGTAATAATAACACGTTGAGCCGATTCCACCCCTTGACGCGATTATACTTTTTTCGACTGTTGTTACGATCGATCATTGTTTTAGTATTCCGTTTCAATTTATCCTCGATTTTTTTTTTTATTCGTTTGTCCACCATGGCTTGGCTCTCGTGTGGAGGAACGAAAAGAAAAAAAAAAAGGGAGGCAAGAGTGTGCGTTTCTTCGTTTTCTTCTTTCTCAGTGTCACCTTAGATCAAGCGTCGCGTGATAAATTGATCTCGCCGTGCGTCGCGTCGTGTCGATTCGATGCTCTCGCTACGATCTGCTGCGAGATGATCGATGCGAGTGTCTACTCGGGACGGGGATCTCCCGATTGGTCGCAAGGCGAAACGAAACTGGAGGCGACAATATTTTCACCAGAAACGGTTACGACAACCTGTGTTAATCGCAATTGCCAATTGATCTATCATCTTTATCGCTAATCGAAGCGAGGATTGTCACAGACGCGTGCAAAAATGTGTCCAGGTGACACGAAGAAAACGAAAACGAGACCTACGTCCTCGCTATTCTTAAAATAATCACCTCGCGACGAAGAACGCGTTTCAACCGTTTCTCTGGCAAGAAGATGCAAATCTCTTAGAGTTGTAATACAATTTTAGAAAGTTTGAAGATTTATCCCCGAGACGCGGTAACGAGAGTAGAGGTAAAATAGAATTTTAGAGTGTTCCCATGCAATTTTACCGGACGAAATTCACACACACACACATACAGGTTGCCTGGAGCAACTTTGCGACAGAAAGGGTTGAAAACACGGCTTCTTCTTCCATCGTCATAATTATCATACGAAACCTTCTTCTTTCCTCTGGGAGGCAGAGTTCGTTCATTGTCGGTTGGTGCGTCGATTACAAACGAGCCAAGCTTTTTTATCCGGTGCAACGTATAAAAATTCTACGCGCTCTTCTTCTCTTCCGTTCGACTCCTTTTTCTTCTTTCCAACGAACCGCGTTTCGATCCTTTCTCCATCGAATTGGACGGCCCTAGAGAAGAGAGGCTGTCGTCCCATGTGTCCGCCACAGAGATATTTTTCTTGCGAACGAACCGAAACTGGCTAGCCACACAGTGACGACACACGCGCGCGTCTATATTTTCCAAGAAAGTCGCGGAACGAGGATTCTCTGCTCGTGTATATCCTGTTTTTTTTTTCTTCTGTTTTAAGCGCGTTTTCTCGGTTTGAGAGGGTGAACGTGAGCGAACGAGAGCAGGTCTATAAGTTTGCCCCGTTTCTATACATATTATATATATATTATATTTTCACACAGGAGCATACACACACAGACGAGAGGGGAAACGAATCTACGAGTTCCGTTTTTATCTTAGGGTTTCTTTGTCTTTCTCTTCTTTTCTTCTCCTTCTTTTTTTTTCCTTGGAGGGTGAAACAGAGGGGCGAATATATGCTGTGTACTTGTGCGTTTGCCTTTTTCAGCGCTCGATAATATCGTTTACTGTATATTACGTGTACGATAGAGCTGTACATATAGGAAAGTACAATAATTGCCAAAATAATCATGGCGTGGAGCGACAGAGTCTCAATCTTTATTCCGTGTGTTACGCTGGTGAATATGAGTAAATCAAGGGGTGGACGACACAGGTGATTCTGTGAGTTTATTTTCTTCGTG